TTACAGTTGGAGCAATTCCTCGCCTTCGGATACAACCCTAGAAGGGAAAATAACGTCGACGGCTGGCTTGGATAGAAATTTGAAAATCTGGAAGATAAAAACTAAACCTTAACCAAAGCAAATATCACCTATATATAATGAGGAATAGTAGATATAATAGCTAGAGAATATAAATAGAAGGGGTGATGAGAAAGGAAGGAGGTAGACAAGGAAAGTGCTAGAAGTTTATCATGTTGGTGGTAGCAGAGATATTGTAATTCTTTGGGAAGTCGATCATTAGGTGTTGTCATTTCACAACACGTTATGATAGAATAAATATGCATCCTCTTTTGGCACATCATTAGCTGGTGATGCATATATATGTAGGTTTTCGTAATGCAACCCTTGAGCCCTTAACTCTGAAATATTCTTCTTCCACTTCTCACACTCAGCAGAATTTAACTGATAAACCAATAGATGAGGAGAAACCAACTTTATGGTGAAATTTATGTCAAGCTGTACCACTCTTACCGGCGACCACTCCACTCAAGAGAAGCCTCTTCTCCATTGATAGAACCTAGATCCCATTGATGAATTTCTTTCCTCATTAAGCTCCTATGATAAATTTCAAGGCTGGGTTTCACCCCTCATATTTGGACATCTAATGATGACCATGTTGAACTGAATCTATATCTAAATAACTTTATGCAATTTTCTAGACATGCACAAAAGGGCCACTTTTCTGACAGAATGAATATCTCTCAATAGGGGCAACTCATGAATGAGTCAATAGATCTAAATGGTCTAAATTTCTCTTATCTGGGGTTGCTATGTCTATAGTGTTAGTTCGTCGAACTCAAAAATATCTTAGACACTTACCATGAAGTCAATTAGAATCTCTCCCACAGGCTTAGTTGGAACTATGTGCATCTTTTCCTCCTCAACTAGAAGCTGGCCCTCTTCCTTTATGTCCTCACAGTCTTCAATGTCTATGATGTCATTACCCAAATTTTTGATGCCTTGAGCAGTGAAGCAGATCACTTTTTCGGTTGTACAACCTGATTCAATATGCCCAAATTCGTGACACTTGCAACACTTCATGGTTGTGACAAATTTTGTGATACATATTGGTTACAATTGTTCTCCATTTTAAATCAGTTTTTCCCGTGACAGGGTCGTCTTTGGTTTTCTCCTGAATGTAATCTAACTGTAGGATTTTGAGATTGAGCATTGCCTATAAGATGTGTTGTTCTCCTGACGATGTGGTCTCCACTTTTGAAGCTAGAGTCTAAACTTTCTGTCTACTGTAAGTTGGTAGGAACTGACACTGGATCTCCCGCTTCATCTTCAAATTTTTTTGTTCTTTGAATGCTGGTTATTCTCTAGGCCTCTTTTGTTACTAGATTTTGAAGCTTCGTGGTCATTCTTCTACATCACTAAAGTCCTCCCTATGGAAGTGATTTAGATCATAGTCTCTTGCTCTCCTTCGATTTTCTAGATTTAGATCGAGGTTAATCCCCTCTTGGCCCCCTTCATCCATTTCTGCTAGTTATGTTGCAGACAACATATATCTTGTTGTATTTCATCTCAGGTGGGGTTTGACAGGTATTGTTTCGGGAGCATTGTTGAAGTTTTGAGATTTGCTGAAGAAGAAAGAAAAAAGAAAAGAAGAAAAGAAGAAAAAAAGAAAAAAAAAATAGAGGGAAAGAAAGAAAAAAAGAGTGGGAGAGAAGAAAAAAGTGGCAGACTCTATAGATCCCTAGGATAGATTTAGACTAGCTCTGATACCAAATGATAACAGAGTTAACACAAACCATGACCAAACGACAAAATTTTATTGTTGAATTCAAAATTGTAACGACAAATCTTGAACATAACACAAACATGTAAATAACACGTACAACAATAACACAACAAAACAAGAAAAGAAACAACACAAAGCAAAAAATGACTCTCTAAAAGAGAGTAGTAGGCCCTCAAGGGAGGGACGAAAGCGGCGGTTGTGTTGGAAGGTGGTTCACAGACCCGGGTTGCGACATCGAATGATGGAGTGAGGGCGGCCTGCAGGGAGGAGGCTGATAGTAAGTGGGGACGACGGCGTAGAAGGGAATAGGGGAGGTGGCAGTGGAATAGACAGTAGTAAGTGTCTGTGTTGGGGGCTAGACGACAACAAAATTTGGTGTTGGGGGCAGGACAACATCGGGAATCAACAGTTAGGGGGAAGAGGCTTGGAAGGTCTATGCAGCTGCTGGAAGGGGGTTGAAAGCAAAGACGTCTGCAGAAAGAGTGGCAGTGGAAATTGGGAAGGCTAAATATCCCCGCCAGAACGAGTTATAGTTGGAGCACCCGCCGAACCTTAGGAGAAGATCGCCTTGTGGTCATTACAGCTGGAGCATCGCCTTGCCTTTAGATACTGCCCTAGAAGGGAAAACAACTTTGACGGTTGGCTTGGACAGAAATCTGAAAATCTGAAAGACAAAAACCGACCCTAAGCAAAACAAACATCTGCAACGCATTACAAGGGTCCCGATGCCAAGCTGCCAACACGCAACATTACAAGAAGGCCACATGCCCATGAGACCATGAACAAATTAACCAGTGCTTGCATGCCTGACAACCAGCTCAAGAAGACCGCAGCAACTCGGCAGCACTTCCCTCCAATAGACATGCAGGGCTTACACCCATATATAGACACAGAGACATTCAAAATGCTCAAAAAGCTTACGTTTTTATATAATGAAAAATAGTAGATATAATAGGTAGGGAATATAAATAAAAAGGTGATGGAAAAGGAAGTAGGCAGGCAAGGAAAGTACTAGCAACGGAAGGGCTAGACAAGGCATGTAATCAAATTGGACCGCAATACTGTAGCAGCTACAGTACCGCTACTCGGGAAACTCCCACGTCAATCACCAATCTTGGCCTATTAGCTAAAGCAGATGCTTGGATCACCGTCCTTGACCTACTTGGGGATTAAAATCATTTTCAATGTCTCTGAGTCAGAATTGGAGATCCAGGTCGAATCTTCTCCAATTTCGGGAGAATGACGTTGGAGCGTCAGTACTACTGCTGTTCACATTTTGTTAAAGTTCAATTTTTATGTTAGTTCTATCTCTTTTTGTGTTTTTCTATTAGGAAATAAGGGGGGCCTTACTGCATATAAATTGGTGGTGTTTTGTGTATTGGGGAGCTAGATTTTGGGTTTTTGAGTTGTTATTGTTTTTTTTTGTGGGTTTAAAATTGCGAGTTTCTCTCTTCTAGGATGGTTGGGCTACTTGTTCATCTTCCTTGCAGTTGTATCCTAGAATTGGCAGCCCAGGAGGTGTCTTATCATGTGTATTCTTGTGCTTCCTTTACATCAGTAATATTCCTTTTGCTGTTCTTTGCTTTCAGAATTCTTCTCAGCAATTCTTGCTTGTTGTTCTGTTGAAATTCTACTCATATACCTTGCCGGTATCAGATGCCTATTGATCATAGGCATGGGAATATTTTTGACAGGTTATTTCATTGCCTAGCTTTAATTGTCTCCACCTTAAACCATTCTTTTTTCTTTCAAGCCTTATCTAAAAATTCTTCTAAATTCTCTCTCCTGAGACTCCATGAAGATGGGTCTTTTTAATCCTTCCCTACCACCTTTGTAACTACACTTCACATAATCTTTTTTAGCTCCTCTTAAAATTGGAAATACTGACCATCACCCAACGATTCTCTAAATCAAACTCTCTTCTAGCTACTTAGTTTTAAATATCCTCAAGAAAGTGTCCAGTCAAAAGCCTAAAACATACCTTAAATCCCATCCTCATCCATTTTGTGCATTAATCTATTATATGTAGATTCTCTTTTACATTAATCAAACTCTCTTCTAGCTACTTAGTTTTAAATATCCTCAAGAAAGTGTCCAGTCAAAAGCCTAAAACACACCTTAAATCCCATCCTCATCCATTTTGTGCATTAATCTATTATATGTAGATTCTCTTTTACTTTAAAATCAAGTCTCATTCCATTTGACCTTCTTTCATGCACTCATTTTAGGCCTTGTGTTGTTAAAAGAAAGCAAAGATCTCCTAGTTAATCTTCCTCCAAAGCTCACCCATTGAATAATTCCCAAACACTAGGCTGGTACAATCTGAATCGAACCCAATGCAAATAGGCTTAACATGACCATTAATCCAAATAGATCTTGCCTAGTTTGATCAACCATTTAAATTGGAACCATTGATCAAGCCGCACCAAATAGACCAATACTCTTGTCTGGCGTGGCCATTAATCTGTAATGCAAAATTAGAGCTGAGAGTTTTTGTCGATTTTATTGTCAAATAAATAGTTTTTTTCTTCTAAAAGCTCTAATTTATTTTTCTTTGCGAAGCAGTGATCCCTTCTTCACTTTTTTTCTGAGACACGTCTCATTTATTTTTTTTAAGGATGGCTCAATACTGAGTAGAGCATTTGCTTTTTCTTTGATGTTATCTTCCCCCCTATCTGGCACAGACCTTATATTGGGACTACCTGGAATTCATGCCTGTCTGGCTGTCCTTCTAATGTCTGCACTCCTTTTCTTCATTTTCGCTCTTTGTTCTCTATACCAAAATTTTCTCTTCTGTACAAATCATGATTTTAATGAATCACCTCAATGTTCACTTCTGCTACTGATCCCGCATCTTTGTATTTTATTTCTTCATTAACTATTTGAATTTTTTTAATCTTTTTTGTGGTCTCCATCAATAGACCTAGACACTGAAATTATATCTAATTGTCATTATATTTTAGGACTGATTCATTTTTAATGATGCATTGACACATTGAAGTGCATTTTTTGTCCAGTAATTGATTAATTACATATTGATTCTATTTGGTTTTACATTTTCATAATAATTGTAGTTCTCTCTCCCAATGATTCCCTATTTCATTGATAAATGATTTGAACTTCAAAAAAGATTTGTTATGTAACATTTTGTGCAAGAATGCTTTCTTATCTGTCTTATTTCATGCCACTTCATTTTAACATTCCATATTTTTTGCAGTCAGTTGCAAGCTTTTTTAGTCAAGTAATGTCTGCTATTGGCGGAAACACAGCAGGGCCTGGCGAGTGCTCATATTCCACGATTTTGTAAATTTGGATTTTTGATGCTAACAATAATAACCTAGTCATGGTAATTGTTGCAGGTGATGCTGTTGTTAATGTTTATATAAACTATGAGAAAAAGTTTGCTTTTGTGGAAATGAGGTCTGTTGAGGAAGCAAGTAATGCCATGGCTTTGGATGGCATCATATTTGAGGTTTGTGCATTCCGCTCTCCCCAACAAACCCACCCCACTCTGCCCACCCCAACAATCACCAAAGACTCATGCTTCTTCATTATATGCCCCCTAAAAATTATCTTGACCATAGGGGGCACCAGTAAAGGTTCGAAGGCCGAGTGACTACAATGCTCCTTTGGCTGCTGCACTCGGCTCAAGCCAGCCTAATCCAAATCTTAATCTTGCTGCTGTTGAGCTGTTGTTGGGATCTGCTTCTGGCCTTGAGGAGCCAGATCGTATTTTTGTTGGTGGACTCCCATACTACTTCACGGAAGCGCAGGTGCGAGAGTTGCTCGAATCATTTGGAGCCCTTCGAGGTTTTGATTTGGTCAAGGACAGGGAAACTGGTAATTCGAAGGGCTATGCTTTTTGTGTCTACCAAGATCTTTCGGTCACGGACATTGCATGTGCTGCTCTTAATGGTATAAAGATGGGTGATAAAACACTTACGGTCCGACGTGCAAACCAGGGAATTGCTCAACCCAGACCAGAGCAAGAAAATATTTTGTTGCAGGCACAACAACAGGTAGCAATTCAGGTGAGGCACAACTTTCAAAATGCATAACATGAGTTTAAATATTGTATTATGAACAGCTAATATTGGATAACTTCATAGTGCTGCATTATTTGGTTGTGAATATATAATGGTGCAAAGGTCATGTTGGACGGCATTGTTATGAACGTATAACCTTACTGTTATGGCTGTCTGAAGTTCCTTTTTGCTTATTTCAATTTGATTGCAAGAACAAGTCTCTAGTAGCTCGTTTGTTTTTGAAAGGATAAGCAAGTGACTTGCACTCTGCTTCTTCTAATGGATTTATTGTAATGGTCCAGTGTGTAGCCATTCCTCAGGAATCGGGGCATCTTTTTCTGAGTCTTTGTTAACTTTCTACTATCTATTTTGTCCTTGGCTTCCTGCCTTAAGCTTGGCCTGTGCATTTTATTTTACCTGGTATTTAATCTATGTAATCAGTTAGTACTTGGATTCAATCCTTTCATATCCCCTCTTTCTTTCTTTTTCCCAACATTTTTTTTTCCTATGAGTCAAATCATTTTAATTTGATTTATAATCTCATGCGGACATTTTTATGAAAACCTTAATCTCTTATCAATTTTGCCTTTATTAATACCCCCTCAATCATTGTTCCTCGTTTCCCAATTGTCCATCGCCCTCCTTAGTTCATGCCGCCCTAGTGATATGTGAGATAATGTTTACCACTTAATCAATCATTGGACAATTATAATTAGTATAATTCTGATAACTCATCAATTTGTGGATTATTAAATTTTTCTTTCTGGATTTTGTTTGCTTCTTATTCAAAGTTTGAAGCTCTCCCGAAGCTTATATAAATACCACATAAATGTTGAAATGAATTACCCATTAATTATTTTCAATGCTTGTTATGATACCAGAGCATTAGGCTTTTTTTCATATCATTTCAAGAAGCTTTATCCTTCATCGTTCTATTACTTAGAATTTGCAAGCTTTCAATGTAAAGACTTCAGATTCCGTCTAATTTTCACAGTTGTAGTTTTCATTTTTGCAGTCTCATTTCCATCATTTATTCTCTGTGCATCCTATCACTAACTCATCTTTTCTTCTCGTGGAGCACAAAGATACCCTTGTTCCTTTGGTTTTTGTTTATTTGGGGCCTGTCTCAACAACCCAACTCTAATAGGAGAAATATAAAACATATATTCAATATATTATTTGAGTGCAAAAACTTACCTAAAGGTAGGGTCAAAATTGTTCTATGCTTTCTTGAAGGGAAGATGAATATTGGGCTATTTACTTTGCACCAAATCTCAACAAACTGATCCCACAGTCAATATTTGGGATGAATATGAATCTATGGTTCTTTTCCGATTTTAAAATTTCATATTTCTTCATTCAATAAAGAAAATTCAGAATACGATTAATCTAAAGTTTGTGATGCTATTTAAATCTATAAGATCAAAATCAAGATTTTGTTTACAAAGCAAAATGGAAAACTCACAAAGAATATTTCAATCTACAATAAGGTCTCTCTGACAAAAGATGGATCATCATCAATGTACCCAAATGGAATGCAGCAAATATGTTACCATTTTTGAAAGGTTTGTTAGAAAATACTGAATATATATGATTTTCTTATTTGATGTGTGTGGGTTCAAAATATTTGCACCCTATCCTCCCTTGAAATGATGATGAGAGAGAATTTTGTTATGAATCCGGGTCAATTTTTTAGAGGTAGATTACAATTATAGATAAGACAATACCCAAAGCTTTCAACTTTATTTTATGATTTGGCGTTTTCATAGGTGTAAGCCGCTATGGTTAATTACCACTCTTGATAATGGAGGAATAATTTTTATTAAGATTAATCTTTAGGCGTTGATTGCTTAATGTATTTTAAATATTCGGATTTTAAATTTGAAATGATTTTTTAAAAAGATTTTTAGGCATTTTGAAAATAGAAACCTCTTCGATTGAGAGATTTTCAATCAACACGGTCATCATTAGAGATTTTATTTAAGATTTTTTTTAAAAAAAATTAATTGCTTAGTTTAAGCCTTGCTAACTTTACACTTTACACTTTGCGTGTAGAGGATTGTATTCATAATTAATATATGATTTTATTTCATTAAAAAGAAATTGTGCTGTTGACCTTGTCAACTCTACTTTCAAGCATAGATAATTGGATCATAAATTGCCCTTTATGATTTTGAGATTGAGTAACTTATATTTTTAGTATGAAATTTTATTTTGAAAGTAGACTCGTCCGGTTGAAATTTTATATTAATCTTGACATCATTCGAATAATTGAATTATTGTATTTGTAACTTTAGAGCTTGATTTATAAGTGGATTCTTTCAATTGATATTATCAAGGTTGCCATCAACGAGATTTGTGTATTGATTTTGATTATTTGAATTATTGTATTTGTAAGCTCTTCATGAAATTCCCCTGCATACTTGCTTCAGAAATCCCCCACAGTTGTGCCGACAACAGCTCAAATCTCTCTCTATATTCCATTACCATACCCTCCTTAGTCAAGACAAAATTGCTCATATAGGTCTCATTCTCGAATGGCTCAGAAAGGTTCGAACTAATAATCGTTAAATTCTTCCCATGAACCAATCAGGTATCTAGCATCCCTCAATTGAAACCAGGCTAATGTTTTTTCCTCCAAACACAATCCCGCCGCTATGTGTTTCTCCTCCCCATCTGACCCATTCACCGCGAAGTATCATTTCGCCCTCGAAGATCGACATCTTCAACTTTCTTCAGCCCAACATCTTCTTTCGCCGTTATTTCCCCCCATGTATCGAGGTTAAAACTCTTTTCTTCAACTGCACCCATATACCGTCCCTGCTTCTCTCCCGTCTTCGTGCTCCTCCAAACCTCTGCTATAATCTTTTTCATGTTTTGGCCCAACAACCTCCATCAGAAATCTCTTATTCACCCTTAATAGGAGGCCCTGAGAGGAGTTTCGTGATGGTAGATGTTTTCCTCCTCGTGTTCCTAACCTTAGATCTCTTTTCCTTTTGATTTTGCTACAGATTCTCTAGTCAACATTTATATAGGGTTAGCAAATTGAGCTATCAACAGGTTGGATTACATCTTAATGAGCCTCTTTAACATCTCTTGAATTTCACCCATGCTCTCGAATTGATCCTCCAATCGGTTCTTCTATAGAACCTCTTTTCTATGGCGACGAACCTTTCTTCCATCCCAAATTTTATTTGACTTATCTTTTCCTCCAATTTCTTATCTAGATCATCTAATTTCTTTGCTGCCATCTATTTCAAAAAAATTCTTGATCTCAAAGAAATTTTTTTTTATACCCTGCATACCGGAAATACGATTACTGTGAGACATTGTTGTTGTCATATAGTCACGCTCATTGTGAGCCCAGATGACTTCGCTGGCGGAGGATGTGCTGCAAGTGATTCTGTCTACGCATAGTGATCCGGGCCTCGGTAAGCAGTGATCCTGTCGTTGCCTCTCTTTTACACGTTGAGATTCGGTCTTCTGCATGTGATCCCAGCTTCTGCATGCAATCACACAAGTTGCGCCCGTGAAAAAGGAGTTTCGGGTTCTGTAAGCCGCGATTCTTCACGCGAAGCCTTCCCAGCTACTCTGATCACGACTGTACGAGAGAATGGGTCCCTAAATTCTACGATTCCGTTGCGCAGAAAATGGACTTAGGCTCTGATCGCGGCTGTATCATGTATGTGGCGCGAGAGGAACAGGAAAATGAAAATTTCAGCTCCGTACACCGCGATTCGATAGGTACAACAAAGCCTCCGGACCTCGCAACCCTTATCGCGACTGTATGAGGATCTCGTAAACGATGCAGTTGTCGTAAGTGATGCGGTTGTTGCTCATGGCTTTAGACACGAAGATCTTCAATTAGGGCATAATGAGTTTAATCCCTGTTCATTGGGATTTTTTTGTTGATATTCCAAAAATTGATTGCTTTGATACAAATTTGATGCGATCCGATGTTAAAATCGAAACGTATTTCCACAGAAATTAGGGCAAACTCTAATTTTATTACAATAATTCAGACAACTCAACAAGAGCACAAAGATAAACACCTATAATTCGGGAGATAAACGATCTCTCCCAAATCCTACAATTCAAGGGTTCGGAAATCTCTCCCTAATTCTAAATCTAAGACTCAAAACTCAATCTCATATATAAACCTAAGACATAACCAACATATTTATACCGATTAATAATAATTATAATAAATATTAAACTGTCCTTAAGCTTAAACGTATTAAAGACAAATTTGTCCTTAGGCTAGGCACCCTCATAACACATGCATTGCAATGCAAACCTTGTCAGCTCTTATCATTTGTGTAGAGGATTAGATTTGTGAGTCGAGCATATAATTGTATTTCGGAGAATATAGTAAGTAATATTAAGAGTATTATTTAATAATTTTTTGTTAATGAAGAGCTTTAGTTTTTAATGAGATTAATATTCAATTACTAGTCAATCTTATCAACTCCAATCTCTATTAGGAAGAACCGGACAGACTGAAGTGTGAGTTATGTTCTTGCCTTATGGACAAAACAACCTGCTCAAGAACACTCATATTTTAATGAATTTGAATTCGATTTTTGAAAGTAGAAGTTTTATACAATTTAAGATACTCGTGCACTTCTAGAAACTGATCATATTTTACTTTAAATTTATGATCAACCCATGCGACAATCTTAGACTATATAATTATGATTTAGCATATTCATTAGAGCAGATGCAGGCTTAATTTTAATAATGTGTACTAATTTTGAAGCACCTATAAGATGCATTTGCATTAAATTCAATGCACTTGTATGATGTATTTTAAGTCCTTTTTATTAGTTGCCTTTTGTTGTGCGCATGCGTTGAAAATAACTCTCACAAATTTCAAGATGGTGTATTAAAATTGATAATTACCTTATGAAATTTGTGCAACACAAAATTAGTAAAAATTAGGATTATTTGTGCAAATTATTTTTTCTGTCAGTGTGCGCACAAATATTTCATTTTTTTCGCCTTATATTTTATTTCTTGCCCACTGTATGTGCGTGTTGAGGATCCAATGACGAGAAAGACATTTTGTGTTCTGATTGTGCATTCAAAATATGACATTTATTTCTATTTAGTTCAGAGTTTACTGAATTTTGAATTTCAATGAGGCTTCATTTAAAATTGTTGAAGAGCAACTGAATTCTTTGCAGCCCTACAGAATAGTTTGAATGCTCAATTGAGATTCTTATCGTGCTCATTGATGAGCTATCGAGTCTTTTGTTGTCCATTTTTATATTTATTTGTTTAATCCTGGTCCTTGCAATTCTTTTCATAAGACTTGTTGCATTTAAAGTTTTTTTTTGTTTATATATATATATATATATATATATATATATATATGCCGTGTTATTAAGTGCAGGTGTTATTTTGAGTTTTGCTTGTTGCAAGTTTGTTCACCTAAAAGTTTGGCGGCCTTCCGAAATTTCTGCTATGTAGGGGATGTTGGGAGCTTGTAAGGCACGTGTAGTAGGTGTTTTGCCACACTGTGGTAGTTTGTCTTCTAACCTACCCCTTATAAAGCATGAATAGACTTTCACATACCCGTGCAAGAGAAACATAGAATTTTTCCCCGTATAGGAATAATGTGAATTGGTACTTGAGATAAACAGATTTCTCAGCCGCATTGGAACAATGCGAACGGGTACTTAATATAAACGTATATCTTTCGCTGCTTTGGAACAATGCTAACGTTTACTTAATTTTTTCTTGGTATACTTATGTACTTGGCCGACAAGTTCAGTGCAATGAAATGACAGACCTTTGAGATGATACAATAATATATTTGTGTTTCTAAATTTTTTGTTTCTAATTTTGATTCTCGTTTAGCTATCTTTTGTCTTTGTTTGTAGAAATAAAATTGAGTATGTGTGTGTGGGAGGGAGGTGCTGAGTTTGAATTTTCTCTGTTTAAAGAGAGAAAAAGAGAAAGAAATGATGGGGTGGTGGATTTGGGTTGATGTCGGTGTAAGAGTGGTCGTGAGAGAAGGTTTAGTGCTTGGGGTTTTTTTAGGCAGAGGAAGGATGGCATAGGTGTTTCCATGCAAGGAAAGGTCTGCTGGCCTGTGATTCTTGTGTAGATAGACATTGAAAATGAAAGGTGAAAGTTTGGCCAATGACGGGCAAGTGTAATGTGGGTTAGGGCTTGGCCGTGACTAGGCACCAGAATTGGGTTGCGGATGACGATCCTGAGAAAAGTGGCTGTTTGGAGCAACTGCGAATTGGTTTTGGGTTTCTATTTCTGGTTTTTTTGGGCATTTAGGGTAGAGGGGTGTGAGCATTCTGGTGTGGGTAGATGCAGAGGAACGGTGTTAGCTGTGATGGGAAATAGATAGGAGAGCTTGGACCAGTGGCTTGGGGCATTCATGCGATAGAAAGAAAAAAACTATAAGGGGGTGTTCAAAGTCGGATGAATTGGGAGATCGTGATTGATTTCTGCACACGTGCATGAGGTGGAGGTGGGATCAAGTTGCTATGGGTTTGAATAGCGTCGTTGGTGGGTAAGCAGATTGTGATCTAAGCTGGAGGATGATGGAGTGAGAGTTGGCTGGAGCGAAGGCGCAACAGGTTTGAATGTTTGGAGAGATGAAGAGGGATTCCAGTGTACGGTGTTAGCTGTGATGGGAAATAGATAGGAGTGCTTGGACCGGTGGCTTGGGGCATTCATGTGATAGAAAGAAAAAACTATAAGGGGGTGTTCAAAGTCAGATGAATTGGGAGATTGAGATAGATTTCTGCACGCGTGCATGTGGTGGAGGTGGGATCAAGCTGCTATGGGTTTGAATAGCGTCGTTGGTGGGTAAGCAGATTATGATCTAAGCTGGAGGATGATGGAGTGAGAGTTGGCTGGAGTGAAGGCACAACAGGTTTGAATGTCTGGAGAGACGAAGAGGGATTCCAGTGTTAGGGGACCGAATAGATTTGGACTTTTGCACACAAAATAAGATTCTGGTTGAGTGCAAGTGTGAGGAGAGTAGTGGCGAGAGGTTTTGTGGAAACAACAAGAAAGAAGACTACTAGGGAGTTTTGGCTGCGGGGGAGAGCTCGCGTAAGGATGGCTTAGGGGAAGACGTGAGAAGGGCATGGGCTATGTGGGTATTAGGTATTTCATTTTTATTTTATTATTATTATTATTTTTGGTTGTGTCTCGGTATAACATGATTAGAAATGGGATGAGTACAAGGTAAAGAATGTGGGTACAATGAGGATAATGCGACGGCACGGGATTTTGATTTGGGAAATATATATATTTTTTAATTTTTAATCTTACATGTTGTCGGCCGTTTTTAACTCCGTGATTTGAAAAAGTGGTGATTTTGTGATTTTGAAAATAATTTAAATATGAATATAACCCTTTTTTATTTTTAAAAGTAACATTTTAATTTTAAAATAGGTGAGACCAAACGGGTCTCACATTTTAAATAGTTTAGATGATTGAATACAATACTACAAGTAATATACTTATCTCGAAGAATAAATATATCACTTGTAATAGAGATTCAATCACCTAGACTAAAGAATTTGTGACATTCATTCTGGTCTGCGAAATATTTTATAAAAAGACCAACAAGTTCCTTTACCTAACATAAAAAATTAGATAGAGTTTATTTTATCTGGTTTCCAGGTTCTCTATAGAGGCAAACCCCTATAGTTAATTACATCTTAAATGACTGGGGGCCACTTAAGAAAACTCTCGATTAAGATAAGGTGGTTTTGCCATCAAGATTTCAAAGTTTAGGTTTTCACGATTGGACATGAGACAATCAAATGGGAATGACTCAAAATATGAACAATTATTTTAAGGAATTCAAAGGAATGAATAATAGTAGACATCACAGATCCAAGAGAAACTCTGGGGATGTCCCAACTATTCTAATGTTTGGCTTTATGTCTTTGAAATTACATAGAATTTTGGACTTATGTTTACACAACATATGCATGAAAAGATGCACGCACTTTTAAGAAGATATTGATAATGGTATTTTTTATGTGAGTTTAAAAATTTGAGTGGTATGCATGTTATTATGAATGTTTACGTGTTAGATATGTAAATAAATAAGAATTGTATGGTATGCGTAAATGCTTTTTACATGTTACATGTGTTGCAAACCAATTTTTACTTCCCCCAGAATAAGCAGCGGAGTGAGCAACAAGAAATAAAGCAGCAGCAGCTTTCTCAGTTCTACTAAATGACAGAATATGCATAACCTTTTGGCCGGGATTATAAATCACTACTAACTAATCCTATGGACCCCAGTAATTAATTATTAGAAAACTAACCCAAACATGTTATGCTAATACAACAAAATAGAACAACTAGGCTGGATAAAAGTATTAACTTTCACGAGAAATGCAACACCGAAGCAGAACTGTCTTTGCTATTGATAGCTGCATCATGATGTAGGCAGTGGACCATTTGTTGAGTCCGGTAGATGCAAATTATTAATTTATGTGTTCATGATCTTATTAATATATCCCTATGTCCTGACAGCGGCTTGTGTTACAAGTGGGATCCCTTCCAACCAAGGTTGTCTGCTTAACTCAGGTGGTTAGTGCAGATGAATTGAAGGACGATGAGGAATATGAAGAAATTCTGGATGACATGAAGGGAGAGGGTGAAAAATATGGTATGATTTTAGTTCTGATGCTTCCTTCTTTGGTTTCACTAGTATATTTTTGCACCAGCCATTATGGGCAGCTTTTTTCGTCCCTTGACTCGTGGAAGAAATCTACTGTTAGGATGCCCATTAGATCTGTTTTTATAGGGTTTTTTTTTTTTTTTTCTGGGAAATTTATATATGTTGCCACAATTCTTATGTATTTGCATATATCACACCTAAACTTTCATGATTACATACATAGCACTTTCATGTTTTAAATTTTCACTTTTAAAAAGTAGTAATAGTTCTTTATTTATGTGATATTAAAGATTTGAGTGTTATGTGCGTAAATATGAAAGTTTAGGTGTGAGTTTGTAAATACATAAGAATTGTGGGCTATTTATGTAAATGCCTCTTTTCTTTTTTTTCCTTCATCTAAGAACTGAAAATTATCTATTTTTCAGGCACTTTGGTGAATGTTGTCATTCCTCGGCCAGGCCCTAATGGAGAAGCTACACCTGGAGTTGGAAGGGTACGTTTGCTTTTATTTAGAAGGAGCTTCTAATTTTTCTACTGTTGCTTGGGCTTCATATGGCTGCTTCTACATAGAGGAGCATGTTTTAGCAATTGATGATGTTATTTCTATTTATTTTGTGTTAAATCATTATATTTAAAGATAATTTTGCTATCACTATTGATTCATATTATTTACATATAACTAAATGATAGGTCTTTCAGTGCTAAAATAATTTCTTACTTCAAACAACTGAATAAACCCTAGAAAATTGTTCAATCATCCCATTATTTTGATTCCCCCGTTGTATTTTGGAGACATTGATTGCCTTAAGTCATAGCTGTAATCTTTGTTGTATGAATGTTTTCAGAGATAAATATTTATTTTGCATCATTAATTCAATGCATATCGCTTATATTTTGAAAAACATGAAGAATAAAAAGAAGATAATGGGGAGAATATCGTAAATTATGAGTATATGATATGATTTTTTAGCATATCTTTCTAGCCTTGCATTCGCTTATAATTATATTTTTATTAAAGTTTTAGCATATATAGAAGTTTCAACTTGTCAATAATAAATGTGTGGATTGTTGATATTTTTTGTCTGGATTGTATCTTTGATTAATTAATAATCAACTTAGGGTCCGTTTGGGGTAGCTGCAGCTTATTAAAAAGGCACCGCGCAGTAGCTGTGATAGGAAGTTGCTGCGCAGAAGCTGACATTCTGTCTATTTTTTGCAGTTTTGAAACAACTGTGTTGCAGTTGTTTTTGATCAAATGACATTTATGCTCATGTATTATAGTGTTGTTTATAACATAACTGTTCATACTAGCATATTTCATACTTAAAAGCAAATAACTAGATTGAACGTTACAAAATCAAAGTAGACATCTCACATAACTGTGAGTAACACTACCATTAAAATAAAAAAAAGGTGTATTAAAATAATAATTAATAAAATGATAACTTTGTTTTTAAAATGCACTTGGCTTATATCACAAGAGAAGCCGTTCTCTAAGAAAACTCGCCACGCCCAATCACTATCAGCTGTTGATTCCTCCAACCCATCTGCCCACCCAAAGAAGTCACAATTTTCTTGTCTTCTTATTGGATACTTATAAAAGTGTTTCCTGTAACTATATGGTTGTCGCAAAGTAAAGCAGGAAGCATGGTAGCCCACAACAGCAGTACAATGCTCTGGAGATATTGAAAGTCGTTCTCGAGCTCATCTTTTCAGAAGGTTTAAAACAAAAAAGCACAAATCTTTAGGGGCAATATTAGCGAAAAAAAATATTCTAATTAACCGATGCAAGTTTTACTAAATTCTGGAGTCTCATAGAACATATAAACCAACGAATCTGTCACTACATAAAGACAAAAATTTTATAAAAAAAATTCTTGGTTGTCTTCAAAAACAAATAATGTGAAGCTCGTATGTGTCACATATGCATTATCACTGATAAAAATCATCCAGAAGAGCCTAAAAAAATCATCACTGAAAAAATGAGAGAAACTTGGTTGCTTTCATTGGGATTTCATATGTGACAAGAACCAATATTCACATGTAGGCCATCCAGAAAAATCTTTTAAGGTTAAATGTCTTATCGCTGACCTCCAAACAACAAAAAATAAACTAGCAATAAATATTTATATAACATATTATGTTCACGGTTACCTCTTTTGTCAATCAAGAGGGGGATAATATATGAAAAAGAGCGAGAAATAAATTTGAGATTCAAAATATAGATGATTGGACAAAATATCGATACAACAAATGATAAAAGTTTTAACCATCCATCGCAAATAAAGTACCAATAAGAAAAAAAAATACAATTGGTCCATTCAGCAGCCAACTATGACGTATGTAATCCGCTCGCTCAATTCAATCATCTCTTTAGCACCGCTATCATCCTGGATGCAACTCTCAGGTAATTTAACTTCTCCTGTTATAAAGAATGTCCTATGCGATATTTAAATGAACTTCATCGGTCTTGCTGAAGTCAATTTTATTGCTTGAGGGATGCTGCCAAATATAGTTGTAGAGAGTTATTGTTGTCACAACAATTTGCACTTGCTTCGAAAATGAATGTCAATATATTGTGCAATATGACCCATTTTTTATTTCACACCCAAAATGTTCTTTCGATGATACCGCATAAGGACGAGTGTCTCTTGTTAAGCATTTTCGGATACCAAATATCACATTCCTGATTTTGAAAGATCAAACAACGATTGAATTATATTTATCTGACACAAATACAAATAATCTAACTAGAAATAAAGGAATTCAAGTGTCATTGTTATCATAAAAGTAACGTAAATAATTGACCCTACGATAAGGGGTCGTTGTGATAAATAATTCAAGCTTCATGTAGAACATATACAACGCCATGTTCTCACAAGTCTCTAGAGTTACTTTCAGAGTTAGCACAACTTGCTAAATGGAAGTTCTTTCTGATGTCTCAGGGTCATTGGTGCATGAATCCATGAATTGCGAAATTCAGCTTCTAATGAAAAGAACCCCTTCTTTTTTCTTTTTCTCCACCCTCGGACGCTTTGCCCTACTAGTGGATTCAACATCATTTAGGTTCGTGCTAGGGCCTTTGTTGAAGTCAATTGTTTTTTTGGCATCCAAGTTTTCAACTATGCCTTCAAACCCTCGTTCACTAGTGGTTCATATATTATTTGTCGTTGCCCGGAGTCCACCAAACATAGTGTCCAATTTCTCTTTCAGCTCATGGTCAATACAACTGAATTTGAATTTTTTTGCAGCTGACACCACTTGCAACATAAAGGGACATGAATATGTTGATATATTTTAGGAAAAAAAAAATATATTATGTAGGTTTTATCTATTTTCACCTCCAATCTCTCGGCCCACCATTCTTTCGAAGCATTTATTGTCTGTTTTATTGGATTCTAACCTAAGACCGTGGATCCTCATTTCAATTTATTTCAATTTTTTCAGTTATTTTTATTAATTGATGCCACTTGTTTTTGAATTGCATCCTGTCATAATCACTTCCCGAAGTTTTCTTGAAATTTTTAATAATATTTTATTAGCCTTCGTTAAAATAAGTTGCGGGTCTATTTCTCAGTTCTACCTCCTTAAGGCAGAGGTCGTAAAATATTAGTTTGTTTTATCCCACATAACAGATGAACTGAGTTTTTTTTTTTGTCTTAACCATTGCATTACTACCATAGGAAGAGTCAAACAACATAAATATTGAACACAAAAAACAATTACCACAACTCAAATAGAAATAGAATTGTCATATTTTAATCATCACTACCACCCCCTTACACCACACACTACCATCTCCACACCACATCCATGCACCAAACAACTAACCCCACGGCACACACCATCACCTCCTCAACCCTCTCATAGCACACACCACCACCACCCCCACAACACATACCGCTAGCACCGCACTACAACACTAACTCTTTCACAGAACACACAACAGTACACCCCATACCACCACCCCCACAACACTCTAACTCCACACCAACTGAAGAGCGGGATCGGATTTTGTAAGCAAAAGAGAAACACCAAAATCAAAATACAAACAAGAGAGAGCTCACAATGTCACATAAGCTTCTTAACTATGGAGTCCAATAACCATGAAATATAAACCGCTAAATATACCATTTTTCATCCATGAAAGAAAAGGGCATGGCATTGCTATTACAAAGCAACATACAACAAAATATGCAGAGAACCCAAGACAACAAAATATACTAACCCTAATTCATTCTTACATGAAAACAAAATATACACGGCACTCGAAACATTGTTGTTCTAAATACTAAATCACATTACAACCATTTTTCAAATTCTTACTCAAAAATCAAAATTCATGATAAATTCACAATCCATATTCGTGATATACACTGCAACTGAAACATTGTTGTTAACGTATGCTAACTATCTTGCAACCATTCTTCAAATTCTTACTAAAAAATTAGAATTCGTGATGAATTCTCAATCTTTATTCACAACATACAGAACACCCGAAACATTTGTTTACAAATTCACAAGCAACTATCATCCATTTCTCAAACTAACTCAAATTTCAAATTTTTTTATATGATCTCAATTCATATTAGTAAAATACACAGCAGTCCGAAGATTGTATTTCAGACCTCCAACACCAAATTGCATTTATTTCTCAAATTCTCACTCAAATATCATAAATCAACGGAGGAAGAAAGAAGTAAAAATGCCAAAACCTTTGGGGGTGATAGGTATTTATACCAATAAAATCAAAACCAACATAATAGAACCGGCGCCATGTATGTATCAACCAAAGACCACAAACCGAACATACGAAAACCAGCTAAATCGCAAAGCACCAAGCAAAAATTGGGCTTGTAGCCACTGAAATAGAGAAAAAAAAAGGATGCCACCACTGCTATGTATGTAAAAGTCATAAAAAGAAAATTTTATATGCAATCATAAGACTAGTAGAGCTAATTACGAAGAAGATATGAGGGGGAGAGGATATTGGAGGAGGAAGGAAGCAAACGCTGGTAAGAGCCCTAGTCACAGGTGTCGGTGAATGAAGAGAAAGAGGAGAAAAAATCATAAACAGAGCGCTTGCAGGACGAGGCCAAGCGGAAGGGAGTGCACGAGGGTAATTCTGCCAAGTAATGCGGAAAATGTAGGGCCGGGTGTGTGGTTCGGCTTATCGTGCGTGTTTAATTAAATGTGCCCGCGCCGCACCAACTAAACCATGCGAATCGCGGTTAAGCAGCGTCAAACAGGCCCTTATCTTTTTTTATTTTTCATAAAAGGTATAATTGTTTGTAATTTAGATAGCTGTTCTTTAAGCATCCAGCAGTGTAACTTGTTAAATGAAATTCTCTTACTAAAATTTTAGCATCATTTAGCAAGCATAATGGGCTATGCCCTGTATTTAGTTTCATCTATACATTTAAGAAAGGTTTACATACATACCACTCAATTCTTATGTATTTACATGTCTACCTCCTAATCTCAATATTTACATATAAGCCATCTTATCTTTTTTCTCAGAAAAGTTGAACCCAAAGAGTAATATGCATGATTCAAACCTGTAACCTAACAGTAAGATGTCCGAGTAATTGTGCAAATGACACCTTATGCACGCAAATGTCTATTTCACTTTTTAAAAGTTGAATGTAGTGGTAGCTTTGATGCAGTATGAAAGATTTAGGTGGTAGAAATATATAACAAAGTTTAAAGTGTCAGATATGCTAATACATAGTAATTGGGTGGTATGTAACAAAAGTATATATTTCTAATCTAACCCACATCGTTCCATTCAAATTTCTCTTTGGCTCTTCAGGTATTCTTAGAATATGCAGACATCGAGGGATCGGCCAAAGCTCGATTAGGGTTGCATGGAAGAAAGTTCGCTGGAAATCAAGCGGTCGCAATTTTTTATGAAGAAAACAAGTATGCGAAAGGCGAATACGATGCCTAATTATTTTATTTATTTTCAGTCTTTTTTTTGTGGATTCCATCATGTTTCTGAGTTATACTATCCTACGGCAGTTGGTTCTTGGTTTAAGCTATAAATCATATTTTAATAAAATGATTATGTATATCAAAATCTTTATTTTGGATATAAGTAAACATTTGCATTACTTTTAGGCTATAATTATACTCGGAAGTCAGAAGTGGGGATTTCAATCACTCAGGTTTAGGGGCCGTTTGGTCGAGTGAATTGTGTTGGGGGGGGTGTTGTAATTATTTAGTGGGGTTATGAGAAAATTATGATTTTGGCATCAAGAAATACAAATGCAATGTGGAGTATGAATAAATTTGAAGTTAGATTAGTTTATTTTGAATGAATTTAAAATTTGATTGATTTGCTCGAATTTGAATTATAGCATTCGTTAAAATATAATATATTATTTACAAAGCATAGTAGGCTGTCCCTGTCCGTCGCCACTGTTGTCTTTGGCTAACGGTTGCTTGTAGGTTGCACGTCAATTGCTTGCCGTCCGACGCCTCCAACCTTGCCGTGTTTGGCCCACACGCCTCCAACCTTGCAGTCTGACCGCCACCTGATCGGTCTGCTGACGAAAAAAAATATTTTGAAATATATTATTTTCAATCTATTTTAACTTAAATAAAAAAAATATGAAAGCCTACTTTTCTTTTCTTTTCTTTTTTTTTTTTTTGAAGGGTGAAATGAACAAATA